TATGAACTCGGTGCATTTAATTTCACCTGCCAATATGAATCCTTTTGGTCCAATATGCTGTACACCTGTGTGCCTTCTAGTTGCGCTGAGATATTTTCGAACGTTGGAATTTCGAACTGTTCTCGCTTTATGTTCTTGTTCAGTTCCTTCGGATCACGTCTGAGTGATTTGTCTGCTTTCTGTGCAATGACTATGTTGTGGACCCAGTCGGCTGGTTCTTCGACCGGTGTGATGACTTGCTTCTGTTCCATGTCTTGCAATTTCTCTCTCAAAGGTTTCAGAAGTGTTGACGGAACTCGTCTAGGAGGTTGAATAACTGGTTCGTTGTCCTCCTTCAGCTCAATGTGATATTCTCCTGGAAAACATCCTAGTCCTTCAAAGACATCCCCATATTCTGTCCGTAGTGTTTCTTGTGTGATCAACTTTTCCTTCAACGAATGACCTGTATATGTTCTTCATTTCTTCCTGGTGAAACTAGCTCCAAGGCTAATGATGTCTTCAGTCCTAATACTGGACATGTGCTTTCTTGTGTGATGAACACGGGATGGTGAACTGTTTGCTTTCCTACTTCAAAATTAATGTTAGCTGTCCCAATTTGCTGAACAGACTGACCTCCAAAAGCCTTGAGTTCAACCTTTGACCGATTTAATTTGGGCTTTCTCTTCAACAGGTTCCAGATTTTTGCTGGCAGAACATTTGTTTCCGCGCCTGTGTCTACCTTCATTTTGACTATCTGGCTTTGTACTTTAACATGCGCAAGCCAACTATTTCCAGACTTATTCTGTATAGTACCTATCCAGAAGTTCTGGACAACTTCATCCTCGTCATCCTCATCTGACCTTTCATTTTCAATCACGTGCATTGATCTCCTTGATGAGTTTGAATTCCATGCCGCTGCTGCTTTATTTTGCCCTGTAGAAAAACATTGAGATGCAAAGTGGTTTTGTTTTGAACATTTGTGGCATGTCTTCCCATATGCTGGGCACTGTTGTCTCAGGTGACTTAGTCCGCATGCTTTACAGTTTATCTTGTCTCGTCCTCCTCTCAAAGGTACATTGTGTTGAGATTGTCTATTGGACCTTGCCTCCTGTCTTGGGTGTCTGTGCAGTTTCCCCATCTTTTCTTTGCCACGTCTGACACTGTCAACTTCCCGATGACTATCAGGCTGTCTTGACCCAGTCATAGATTTTAATTCTTTTTGTGTGGTTTCGAAACTCATGCAGATGTCTCTGGTTTTGGAGAGAGTTAGGTTTTCTACCCTTAACAGTTTCTCTTTCAAAGATTTTTCTGTCACTGTGAAAATCACCTTATCTCTAATCATGTTGTCGACTTCTGCAAACTCGCATCTTTGTGCCTGTTGTCTAAGCGCCGTGAGGAAATCTTCAAATGGTTGAGCTTCCCCTCTTGCCATAGCCCAAAATTTGTATCTGTTAAATACTGTTCTTTTCTGCCCTGAAAAATGATCATTAAACTTCTGCATGACCACTTCAAACTTTTTGGCATCTTCATCATCAGTGTATTCAAACTGATTATACCGCTCGAGGCTTTCAGTTCCAATGCTGTGCAGCAGGGTTGCTATTTTTATGTCATCCCCCTTTCTATGAACTTCTCTGGCAGTCATGTAATTTTCAAATCTTTGTTTCCATAGTTTCCAGTTTTGTGCTAAATCCTCTTGAAACTCTAAAGGTTCAGGAGGTTTGAACTCCATTTTACTTGAGCTTTACTTCTCTTAATCTTAATAGATCTGCGTATTTGACTCTGATCGTCCTTTTGTAGGCTCAGATTTAGACTTCCCAATTCTCTAGAATATCTAGATTGTTTGCCCTTTCTACCGAGTGAGACGACACCTTGTCTCGCATCCCCTCGCACTCACAAAGTGTTGAATGCGCTTTCAAAACTACTTGATCTCTTGGTCAAGGAAGAATATAAAACGGGAAATTCCTATAAAACATTTTAATACAGACCTATTACCACTTCTGACACCATGTTGTGTTTGTTGGGTTCTTTAGATCATTGTTTGATTCATAACAAGACGTGAGACGCACATAGGGATAACGGTAAGGAACATTGAGGCAGCCATCTCGGTAACCCAGAATGCAATAGTTTATTTCTTTAGGATTGATTACAACGTCATATCCGGATCGGTATCGATTATTATTATTATCGAATATGACACCCAATGTGTCCTTTTTAGGGACTATGCATATGAGACTGTGGATCATCACCTGTCCCACTGCAAAGCCCTAAATGACATCAGAGCTACCCTTCTCCCTCCGAGACCTAACATTGACAACACACTCTATGGAATATTACAACAACTGCAGCAAACCTGCACTTATCACTACATGGCATTGGACAAAAGGGCAAGAGCCCAGCTGTTGCTAGATCGATAACAACAACAACAACAACAACGAAAACAACAACAACAACAACCGCCACTCCCACCCCATTGTATTTTATAACTTACAAGATGTGTTAGTACAAAATCTTGTTTCTTTTTAAGACAAGGAGGAGAGTTGTGTCACATTACAAAAGAATTATAATTTCTATATCACCGCCACTCTCATGCGTCATTAAGCGGGTGGTTAAAGGGTGTCACGGGTAGGTCAAGCCTCTTTTCCTCTGTTGTTTTCTGTCTGTTTGTCATTCTGTGTTTCTTTCCCCTTGTTCTAAATGACCTTTATTGTATGGATGTGCTTCTCTTTACTCTCACTAAAATGTCGTCATGTCTCTTTTTGAACGTGTCTGTGGATGGTTGGTGGGTGTTCTTGTTCATTCAAACGTTGATCTTTTTTATCTCTCCTCTTTCTTTTATGTTTGATACTCTCTTGTAACTCCTCAAATCGTAGGCACTTATTTGACCTAACTGTATTGCAAGTGCCGTAAAACGCTTACTAAAAAAACATGCATCTTTCACCCTTATATCTCCCCCTTCTGTTATGTTCGTCGCTCTCTTTAACACCTCTAATCGCCGCACTTATGAGGCCTAATTGTGTCGCAAGTGCTTTAAAATGGTTATCAAATCCTAAAACGCTTTGTCCACATGCGTGTTTGTGCACCAGCTGTGATGTCCATAGATGGCTCCGCGGTGTTCCGCATGGTAGAGAAAAGTGAGGAGGAGGTGAACAAGATAGTTATACAGATCAAAGACAAACTCACAAAGTCTGGGGTAAGTTTACTTTTCCAAATTTTTCCTCGTTCCATATTATTTTATTTTCCACTAGACCATCTACCTACACCCCCTTCCTTCCCCGTTTCTTTCTTTCTTTCTTTCTTTCTTTCTTTCTTTCTTTCTTTCTTTCTTTCTTTCTTTCTTTCCTTTTTTCTTTCTTTCTTTCTTTCTTCCTTTCTATGTGTGTCTGTGATTGTGTGTCTGTGTGTTTGTCCGTCTCTCTGTCTGTCTGTTTGTCTGTCTCTCCCCCTCCCCGCTATTTTTCTCCCTTGGTGGTCTCAAATCGATAAAGAGTAGGCCTCGGCCGCCACCCGGGCAAAATTCAAAATTTCCTACCAATTGATAATGTTTTGTGTGTCCCACGCGCTCATATGACCTTATGCAGTTGCGAGCGCCGCAAAAACACTTACCAAAACCAAAACCAAACTCTTACTAAAGAAAAAAAACCACAAACCCAAAACTACCCCAAAGCAAACAAACAAACAAGCAAGGAAGCAAGCAAGCAAACAGACAAGCAAACAAGCGAGCTGAATGCTGTCATCGAGAAAAAGCGCGAGGAACTTCTGGAACACAAACGCAGCATCTCTCATTCAACACTGCAAGCTTTGAGAACAGCCAGAAGCAAAGTCCAGAACACAGACAGACGATGTGCGAATGACTACCGGCTACAGTTGTGTGAGAGCATCAAGACTGCAGCCGATGCAGGCAGTATCCGTGGTGTCTACGATGGAAGTAGAAAAGCTGTCTACCCAACTCAGAGCAAAACAGCGCCGCTAATAGCTGAATTGGGGGAAAGAATCACCGACAAAGAAAAGCAGATGGAGAGATGCGTGGAACACTACTCAGAGCTGTACTCCTGGGAAAACAGCATCTTTGATTTTGTGTTAGAAACTCTCGAGAATCTCTCAGTCATGGAAGACTTGGATGAGATCCCCACCGTGGAAGAGCTGAGCAAAGCCATCGACAGCTTACCAACCGGGAAGGCACCTGGACTGTACGGGATTCAACAAGAGATCATCACTTGCGGAAAGAGTTTCCTGCTGAACCACTTGCATGAACTACTGCGTCAGTGCTAACAAGAGAGAGCGGTTCCACAGGCAATGAGAGACCCTGTAGTTAGTCACCCTGTATAAAAACAAAGGGAATAGGAGCGACTGCAATAAATATCGTGGGATCTCTCTGCTTAGCATTGTGGGAAGGGTCTTCGCACAAATTCTCCTGAACAGGCTACAGAAACATGCTGATAGGGTATATCCTGAATCACAGCGTGGCTTCATGGCTCAGTGCTCAAAGACTGATATAATGTTCTCCCTAAGACAGCTACAAGAGAGGTGCAGAGAACAGGGACCACCGCTCTACCTTGCCTTCATCGACCTCACCAAGGCTGTTGAACTCGTAAGCCGGGAGGGCCTATTCCGAGCCCTCACAAAGATTGGGTGTCCACCGAAGCTCTTCAGCATCATCCGGTCTTCCCACACAGATATGAAGGGCGTCGTTCAGTTTAGCGGCTCTTCCTCCCAGGCATTTAACATCCAGAATGGTGTAAAACAAGCCTGCGTACTTGCCCCAACTCTGATCAGTATCTTCTTATCAGTCAGGATGAAACATACCTTCGGAGCGTCAACCTATGGAATATATCTTCACACCAGGTCGGATGGGAAGTTGTACAGCCTTTCCCGTATGAAAGCAAAAACTAAGATCGGTAAAATCCTCCATAGAGATATGGTGTTTGCAGACGATGCAGCAATGGCAGCACACTCAGAAGAACAGCTGCAGAGCCTTCTGGACGGTTTTTCTCGTGCAGGTCAAGACTTCAACCTCATTATCAGCATAAGGAAGACAGACGTCATGGCCAGAGCGTTGGCTTCAGACCAGTCGTGTGTCTTGCCTTGTTTCTTCCCGAAGGTAGCGCCATGGAGAGTGTCTCTAAGGTGATCCCATCTCTGTTGGGCATCGCCCTTCGGGGGTGGGCTAGGAAGGCGTCCTCCAAAGTGTTTATGTACACTTCAGCTCTATCTGAGTGTAGCGTTTTGCAGGCATCGATGCGCACTTTTCCTGGACGCTAATAGTGATGCATTTTTTTGCTTAAGTCTGATTTGGCAGCTGACCATGGAGTTGTCGGTATCGAAATCTGCGCTCTGGTAAGAACGTGTGAAGAGCACATTCCTGGGGTGACAACGTCTGGGGATGATCATGTCAAGCTGGTGCCAGTGTTTGGAGCGGGGGTGTATCCTGGAGTCTTTGTGCTGAGGTTTCGTCTGGAATTAAGAGTTCGTAACACATAGGTCATGCAGGGCGCACAACTCAAGCTGTCGTTGCCTATTTTCATTCATACTGCCTACTCCATGAAGTCCAAGACAGATGGGCCAGGAATCAGCATCAGCGCCCACCCTAACGTTAACGTCACCGAGCAGTATGAGTTGCTTATGGCTGGGGATTTTTTGAACGACCGTCTAAAGCTGGTCATAGAAATCATCCTTTGCATCAGGGGAGGAGGACTGGGAGGGAGCATACACGCTAATGAGGTTGACAGTCCTATCAGTTTTAAGGAGTCGTAGAAAAAGAATTGTCTCTGATCCCTCTTCAACTGGCTGCATCATTTTCAGTAGCGAGTTTCTCAGCGAATCTCACGCCGTACTCTCTAGTTTCGTCTCTCTCGTCTCTTTCCCTGCCAGTAAAAGGTATAATCTCTCTCCCAAAGGGTACCTGATTCTGCCAGACGCGTCTTCTGAAGAGCAACAATATCCACTCACAGAGTAATTCATTGTTGATGACTGCAGTTTTGCGTGTATCCCTCAGATCCCGAAGGCCATCTGAGAGTCCAGTAGTCATAGTCCGGACTTTCCATGATCCAAAAATCAGCAGCGGTTTCGTTTTCTTCTTTCTTTTGTCTGGTGCTAGGTTTACCGACCGCAGATCAGGCTCTTAGAGCCCTAAGCTCCACGCGCCCAGTGAAGCAAGCGGCCTGAGGTAGAACAGCACCTTACTGGCTGAGGGCTGCCCAGCTTGAGGCGGGCGGTAGCTGTCCAATGAAACACAATGGTTTCTCCCACCGGGGAAAACAACCCCTGGAGCCATGCTCTACTCCAGTCGATCTAAGCTTATAACCAGTGACTGCTGTTTCCCGTGTTTTGCCGTCGCGATGAGGGAACGCTGGAGTGTCCTCTCAAGGGCGAGAGAAGTGTATGGAGGGCCAACTGTTGCCCAGGCAGCAGATCCCCCCTCTCCACGCCACCGATGGATCCAACGGAACGACAAACGTCGATACAGACCGGCACCAGGGGCGTCGCAGGAGTTGTCGGAACGAGGCTGTGTACAGCAGCGGACCGCATTAGAGACTCCGACTCCTGATCTTTCCTCAGGGTTTACTCCCGAAGCCTTTCCCAGTAGTGGGTGTGGCCGCAGGGCAGCGGAAGTTTTAAGTTGGAGTTTTCCTTCTCCTAGTTAGGCAGCCAGGACTGACGAGCCCCACCTGTCCGAAGCATCTGGTTTCAGGGCGACAGAGACCCACTTTAGCCCCTTCTCCTGTCAGTAAAAACAGTTCTGCCACGGGAGCTGGACTCAGACTGTCAGAGGCAGTTTGAGACGCCGCCATGAGAGCATTTAATTTTTTAGGTAATGGGAGCTTATCCCCGCTACCACACTCGGCGACATGAAAATCTTAGAACACACAAATAAAACACAGCAAACAAACCTACCACAAAAAACCCCAACCAATACAACCCCCTCCCCCCCGTCCCGAATGTGTGTCCTCTCAAGACTTCGTTTTTCCTGCTTCTCATCATGACACCTTTCGGATAAAAGAAGGTGGATGCTAGTGGTGATATCGGGTGATATCGTATCAAAGGTACTGTTAACATTCGCCTGTTCAAGCACATATCTCTTTGCAACACGTGAAGATAACGAGAGCCAGGAGTGGATGTCAACGTGTTTGCAGTCTTCCACCCGCACGCACGCCAAGCCCTTCGTTCATTCTCCAAAGTCTGAAGGACGTAAAAAAACCTTATACCCTCTTGAAAGCGACATCAATTTCATGATGCTATTCGAGGCATCGTGGTGAAATCAGTCGCTCGTCGAAATAGTGATATCGAAGAAACTGGCACCGGCCAGTTTTATCGAATTAGATTTTTGGCACAACACCTTTAAAATCCATTTAAAAAAAACAATTTCCGTTTGAATGTTACTGAAAAGCGTTGATTAAAGGCACAAAAAACCCAACAGCAAATCAGTTTTCACAGGATTTCAATCTATGGCAGTCATCACACTTTGACAGCTATTTTCTTGCTAATTTTACTTCTGGAACTAGGCAATCCCAACCTCCTTCAATCGTAAATGTCTCTTCTTCTTTTCAAGATAGATGGGTATTCTTTATTCGAAAAATAGAGAAAAGATAACTCCACATGCCCCAAAATTGACGAGCACGTGCTTCTACTTCTGCCTCGACGTGACACAGGTCTGGCCAGAGATCTGTGCTCGTTCACGCTCTGTGATCTGTCCCACTTTGGAAAAAACAACAACGTAATCCGCTGCAGATAATACCTGTAATAATAATGATAATAAAAAATAGTACATAATATGTATTTTTGTATAACACAAATTTCCGCTGAACAGCAATTTTAAGCTAATGCGCTTTACAATCTATATTATTATTATTGCCCCTGCTGACCTGACAACATTCTTAAAAACAATCTCAACTTCCTGGGAAGCGTACAGTGCACAGTGCAAGCTACCATTTTATAGGCGCTGAAACAGTAACATACTGACCAGATATTTCATTGTCTATGGCCGAGTACCCATTCCCACCTGTGTGAAGTGAGGAAAATTTATGTAAAGTGCCTTTCCCAAGGACACAACGTCAGGCCTGAGGTTCAACCCCCCGAAACCGCAATCTCACGATTTCGAGTCCGGTAGTCTAACCACTAGACTACCCACGCCACAGAACATTCGTTTAGATTCTATGCTCAACACTTTATCAAAAATAGTTTTATATAGCAGGA